CGACCGAACCTGAGGTCAAAAGTTCTCTGGGTTGGGTTTTTGGCTGAGTTGTGAGAGGGTATAAATACCCCATTGCCTTCAACTCTTAAGAAAATCTAAGAAGTTTTTAAAACAAATTTTAAACAAGGGTTTAAAGTGTGTTTAAGGGTTTGTTTTGTTTGTGAAGAAGTTTTCACAAGTGGAGGAGATCATCTTCTTGTTTGGGCTTCAATCTCCATCTCTCCATCTTGTTATTCAGAGAAGAATCTCTAAACTCATTTCTAGCTATTTATTATTTTGTTTATAATTTCTATATGCTAGATTTTAATTGAGTTTAGTTTTGATTTTGATTTCACTCATTGTTTACACACACCCACTTGAGCTTATTGTATTTGCATTCATAATATATTAGGGTTGTGAGAGTTGTAACATTGAGTGTGGGCTTTTATTGTGTTCTCATCCATATTAGAGAACAATTTATATTTGTTACATTGTGAGATTGTTAGGTTTTCGGTGAGCTAGAAACCGAGTGTGTTGTGAAGTTTTCGGTGAACTAGAAAACCGATTGTGAGGAGTGACGTTGATCGGTGAGCGTTGAAAACCGATACTGTGAGGTGTAAACGTTATTCGGGTGAACGTAGAAAACCCGGTTGTGATAGTGGATTTCTCCCCGGGAGTGGGGAGCGGAGACGTAGGACGGAAGGTCCGAACTCCGTGATCATATTGCTTGTTTGAGTTTGTCTTTGGCGTATTTGTTTTTGCATTTATCTTATATCGCCAATTGTGCATTACTCATTTATTTCATCCACTATCTTGTTTAGATTATTTACCCTTGTGTTGTTTATATATCCTTGCATATATCTCTATCATATAGGATATATCTCACTGTGTATATATAGCTTATTCTTGCTTATAACTCTTGTATATCTATCTTGCAAGAATACAACTTGTTAATTAATTTTAATTAGCATTTAATCGGATTAGATTAGCATAAGACCCTAATCACCCCCCCTCTAGGGTCTCACATAATGGACCTAGGAGACAATTTATCCAAACCAGCAGTCAAATCCTGAACAAAACACGTACAACCAAAAAATCGAGGAATCACAGAAAAACGTTTTTTAGCAGGATAAAGAAAGTGGAATGGTATCAAACCATCAAGAACAGAGGAAGGCATGCGATTAATCAAATAACAGGCAGTGAGGACAGCATCCGACCACAAGTACTTTGGAATATTCATATGTATCATCAGTGTTCTAGCAACATCTAGAATATGTCTATGCTTCCTCTCAGCAACTCCATTTTGTTGTGAAGTGTGAGAGCATGAAGTTTGATGAATAATACCATTAAGAGCACAAAATTTAGAAACGTCATTTTTCATATATTCCAAAGCATTATCAGTACGAAGAATATGAACAGAAGTAGAGAACTGGGTTTTTATTTCATTATAAAAGAGTTCAATAACATGCGAGACTTCAGACCTCTCTTTCAACAAATATAGCCAAGTCATGCGAGAGAAATCATCAACAAAAACAATGAAATATCGAAAACCCTTCACAGAGGGAACACGACAAGGACCCCAGACATCAGAATGAACTAACTCAAACGCAAACTACTGCGTTTATCGACACGACTCTGAAAAGAAGCACGACGGTGCTTACCCAGTTCACATGACTCACAACCTAAAGAAGAAAGGGAAGACTGAACAGTAACTACCGATCTAAGTTTCTGTAGTGAAGGATGACCCAGACGCCAGTGCCACAGTAAGGTAGAATCAGGCTGTGCTGCAACAAGACCAGCACCCGGCACACTGTCGTCCAAATAGTACATACCTCCTCTCTCATGCCCCGAACCAATCGTCATTCCAGTTGCTAGGTCCTGAAAAACACAATAAGAAGGAAAGAAGGTGACTTTACAGTTATTGTGCTTTGTAAACTTGCTAATGGATAATAAGCTAACAGGGAATTTAGGAGCATATAACACATCAGTGAGTTTCAAAGAGGAAGTAGCATGAACTACTCCAGCACCAAGAACTGGAGAAAGTGTACCATCAGCGATGCGAATAGAGGGAAGCTTATCAGAAAGATGTAAAGAGACAAAACGATCCTTTATACCTGTCATATGGGATGAGGCTCCAGAATCTAGTACCCATGGTTCATGAGGAGAAGCTATGTAAGCATCCATACCTGAAGAGGATGCATGAGTAGCCGAATGACTGTTCTGAGAGATCTCTAGCTGGCGTAACCTCTCATAATCTGCCTGAGAAATCTGAACAGTAGTAGCTGGATTACTAGAAATAGTAGTAGAAATAGGTGAGCGAGTCGACTCGGCATCGGCTACTTGGGCCCATTAAGGACGACCAAACTTCTCCCAGCATTTCTCAGAAATATGATTGGTCCTCCCACAATGACCACACTGACGTGAACCCCTATCAGAATCACCCTGTCTCCCACTAAAAGAGCCACGTCCTCCCAAAGAATCACGACCACGACCGCGGCCTCTGCCTCTACTAGAGAACATGGCAGACTGATCCACTGAAGGTGGAGACGGTGCAGAAGTATCAGAAGAAACACCAGTAGAGACCTACATGACTCTGGAGAATGTAGCAGTCAGTGAGGGGATGGTATCTCCACCCAATATCTGTCCTCTCACCTGGGACTGCAAGTTAGGGTGCAATCCAGAAAGAAACTTGGACACTGCCAAGTCACGGCGATATCCCAACAGCGTCGCTGCATCAGCTACTGCAGGCTGATGCATCTCCAGTTCGTCTATCAGTCCCTTTAACTCACCAAAAAACTCCGGAACTGACCTATCTTCCTGTTTGAGCGTAAACAGTCAGTCATAAATCTCAAATACACGGGAAGCATTCTTCTCATTTCCGTACATAATCTTCAGGCTGTCCCACATCTCCTTCGCAGTGGTTAAGAACATAACACTGCTACTAATCTGTTTCAGCTCAAAAAAAATTATTCCCTCAAATAACTGAAATTGCTATAATTAGTTCCACCATTTCTCATTAGTAATTGTTCCAGAATAATCCCTCTCGTTACTACATTTATTCTTGATTTCGAGAGGCTAGTTTCAAAATAATCTAAGAATTGATAGATCTAATAGCAAAAGGACTAGCTGCAAACTAACTCAAGAATTGGGGGCCTAAATAACGATTTCAATGATTAAACAGACTAATTTGAAAACAACTTAATAGTTAGGGAATCTAATAGCAATTTTGATGATCCGGGGGACTATTTTGAAAATATGAAATATGTAAGGGACTAAAATGTCGAAAGTACCCAAATATTTATTAGGTGGTTGAGTTAGGGTTTATGTTTCTTAATAATCCATTTGTAGATCTAACAAGATATGGCAAAATGGCCAGATTGGTATAATTTCTTGAGGCTTGGTGACAAGTTGGTATATTTTTTTAAAGTTTTGTCAGATTGGTATAAATTTTCAACTCTGGCGCCATATTGGCATTAAGTTTGTCCGGAGTTACTGTTCCGACCAGTATTGATGGGATTTTTTTGCATAAAACTCCCTTATAAAAAACTTATCCTGCTCCTAACCCCCTCCTCCTCATCCTCTTCCTCCTCCTCATCCTCTTCCTCTCTCCTCTTCCTCGCTCTCTTCTTCATCTCAACCCAATCCCAGCCCCCAGAAACACCCCCGGTCTGCAACGGCATCGAGTTATCCTACTCCATCACCGATCGCAAGCAAATCCATCCTCTTCTCAAGGACCCCAAAGCCCAGCCCAACTCCTTCAAAGCCACGGCCACCGTCCAAAACAACGGCCTCGCCGAGCTCAAAGCTTGGTCCCTCCTTATCCAAGTCCAGCACCAAGAGCTCATCGTCTCCGCCAATGGTGCTGTCCTCAACAACAACTCCCCGTTCCCCTTCAACACCTCGGACTCCGATGGCCTCGCCTCGTTCTCGGGCTTCCCGAGCCCAGATCTCAAAACCCCCATAGAGACCGTTGGAGATTTGACCCAGATTCAGGCACAGATCGACCTCGTCGGGACTTTCTTCGGGTCACCTCTACCCGCTTACCCGTTGCCCAAATCGATATCTCTCGACGACCCTTTATACATCTGCCCATCACCGAAGTTGGGTTTCAATTCGAGCAGTTCGCCAATTGGAGTAGTCGCGAATGTTTGGGAGCAGGATGAGGAGGAGGAAGAGGAGGAGGAGGAGGAGGGAGGGGGGAGGGGGTTAGGAGCAGGATAAGTTTTTTATAATGGACTTTTATGCAAAAAATCTCATCAACACTAGCCGGAACAGTAACTCCGGCCAAACTTAAGGCCAATATGGCGCCGGAGTTAAAAATTTATACCAATCTGACAAAACTTAAAAAAAATATACCAACTTGTCACCAAACCTCAAGAATTTATACCAATCTGGCCATTTTGCCGAGATAAAAGTAAAGGTTGTGTTACAGTTGGAGGATCTTTGGAAGAGAAGGTACGAGGAAGTGAAGGGAGAGAGAAAAGAGAAGCGTAAATATCAGAAAACCCCCTTTAACTTTGGATGATTATAAAAAAACCCTCCTAAACTTTCAAAATAACACAAAAGCTACCCTTTAGTTTTTATATTTTATTACAAAAGCCCTTTAACTTTGAGATATTACCAGAATAACTCCCCATCAAAAAAAGAAAAAAAAAAAGAAAAGAGGATTTTTTTTTTTTTTTTTTTTGGGGGGGGGGGGGGGTTATGATATTTAGCTAGAGTAGAATATAAGTACAAAAGTAACTCCTATTTTAGATTAGAATTAGGATAGTTTGAAAATCTAAAATTAAGAGGTGACATGAGAACTTTTTGTAAAAAGAACTCTTGTTTACATAACTAAGGACGTTTAAATATAAAATTCCAAAACTTTAGGATACGGAACTGCTAAAAAGAAGTGAGGCGAGGGTGTTCCATTTAAAAAACAAACAAACGGGGTTATGTAACCGCAAAGCAGGAGAAACTATAGGGTACTTACGTGCAATTTTTACACCTATGTAATTCTTTTCTTGGGCCTCTCTCTCCGCCGGCGCCGACGCACCCACATCTCTCTCTCTCTCTCTCTCTCTCTCTCATGAAACCATGGAAACAAATCAAAACTCTCACCTCTCTCAATCCCAAACCTCTCTCTACTCTCTCTCCTCCATCAAAAGCACCGAAACCCACCTCAATCCCACCATCAAAATCCCACCTTTACGCTTCCTTCTTCTGCTCTCTCATCTCCTCCTACCTAAACTGCTCCCAATTCAATGAAGCCTCACAAGCATTCACCCAAATGAGATCCCTCGGCCTGAACCCAACTCTTCGCTCATGGAATCTCCTCCTTCACAAGTTCAACTCCTCAGGGCTCGTCTCCCAGGTACCTGTAATCTACTCCCAACTCCTCGGCTGCCATGAACCCAACTTTTTCTCTCACGATGTGATGGTTCACGCTTTGTGCAAAATGGGCATGCTAGAAAAAGCTACGGAATTCGTTAGGACAGTCGAAATCGATATGATTGGTTATAACGTTGTGATTTGGGGGTTCTGTGAGCGTGGGATGGTTGAGACTGCGACTGGGTTTTTGTCTGAAATGGTGAAGAAGGGTGTTGGTGTTGATACAATTAGTTGCAATACTTTGATTAAGGGGTTTGTAAGAAAAGGGCTGCTGGATTATGCTGTGTATTATATGGAGATGTTGGTTCGAGGAGGAGTTGAGAGAGATGTTGTCGGGTTTAATACGTTGATTGATGGGTATTGCAAGCTTGGGACGGTGAATGAGGCTAGCAAAGTGGTCGAAAGTATGAGAGAGGAGGGTGTTTTCCCCGATATCATCAGTTACAATACTTTGATCAACGGGCTTTGTAGGATTGGGGAGTTTGGCTTGGCAAAGAGTCTTATGGATGATATGGGGTCAGAATTGTTGGCTGATGTTGTTACTTATACAACCCTAATCGGCGCATATTGTAAGAAGAAAGGAATGGGGGAGGCTTCCTCGTTGTATGAGGAGATGGTTAGGAGTGGAATTTTGCCAGATGTGGTAACTTACAGTTCCCTTATGAATGGCCTTTTCAAGAGCGGGGAGTTATCGAAGGGTCATGCTCTTCTTAGGGAGATGGAGAAGATGGGTGTTGTTCCTAATTATGTCTCATACTCTACCCTGATGGATGCTTTGTTGAAAGCTGGGAAAGCTAAAGAGTGTTTGGCTATTTTACGGGAAATGATTGTTCGAGGTATCCCTTTGGATTTGGTTTCGTACACTACTTTGATGGACGGACTATTTAAAATGGGAAAATTCAATGAAGCAGAAGATGTGTTTCTTTTGATGTCATCTCTTCGTGTTGTCCCCAATCACATCTTATATACTGCATTGATTGATGGGCGATGCAAAGCAGGAGATATTACGGGTGCGGAATCAGCACTTCGAGAAATGGAGAAGCAGTCTTTGAGGGCAAATGTCGCTACTTATTCCTCAATCATAAATGGTTATATAAAAAAAGGAATGCTTGCTGAGGCTCTTGATGCCATGAAGAAGATGAAGGAAGAAAAAATTACTCCAAATATTGTGACTTATGCTACACTTACTGATGGCTTCTTCAAAATGGGCAACCAAGAGGCAGCTTTTGATCTCTATGAAGAAATGAGGAACGAAGGTCTTGAACTTAATAACGTTGTTGTTGATGTCTTGGTAAATGGTTTAAGGAAGAATGGAAAATTCGAGGAAGCTGAGAGCTTATTCAAGGAAATGAGAGAAAAGGGTATCATGCTCGATCGTGTAAACTATGCCTCTATGATGGATATGCTTTTTAAAAAGGGAAACTTCTCCGCGGCTTTTGAAATAGAGCACGAAATGACAGATAAAAATGTAGGCCATGACATTGTTGTGTATAATATCCTCATTAATTGTCTTTCTGCACTTGGAAAGTTCGAAGAAGCAAAAAGCTTTTACTTCCAAATGGAAAATATGGGCTTAACTCCTGATCATGTTACATACAACACTATGGTTGGTGCTCATTGCAAAGAAGGAAAGCTTGATGAGGCTCTCGAACTCAGTAATGAAATGAAGAGTGTTGGATTGATACCTAATTTGATCACTTATAGCACTTTAATCATGGCTTTAAGTGAAGCTGGGGATGTGGCATCAGCAATGCAGCTGTTAAATGAAATGGCTACTGTTGGGATCTGCCCAAATCCTTCAACTCACAGGAAAGTGTTAAAAGCATTTTCTAAGAATAAACGTGCTGAATTAATACTCGAGATGCATAGGAAAATGACAGAAATGGGGCTATGTCCTGATATCACTGTTTATAATACACTCATTCATGTTTTGTGCAAGCTCGGGATGACAAAAAAAGCTGCCGTTGGTTTAAGGGATATGTTGGAAAAGGAAATATCAGCAGATACCACTACTTATAATATTCTCATTCTTGGACATTGTCGAAGTGGCCATCTAGATAAAGCTATTGATACATATTATGAAATGATTTCTAAAGGAGTATTCCCAAATGTTGCGACATATAATACCCTTTTAGGTGGATTGTCAAATGCTGGAAGAATGATAGAGGTTGATAAACTAATGAATGAGATGCAGGAAAGGGGTTTATATCCTAATAATCTTACTTATGACATTTTAATTTCTGGCTACGGAAAGCAAAGTAACAAGAAGGAATCTGTAATGTTATACCTTGAAATGGTAAGGAGAGGCTTTGTTCCCAAACTTAGCACATACAATGTGCTTATTGCTGACTTTGCCAAGGCAGAAATGATGAAGCAAGCCAGAGAATTATTCAATGAAATGCAAAAGAGGGGTATTACCCCTAATTTTTCAACATATGACATATTAATCTGTGGATGGTCGAGACTATCAAATAGATCTGAAGCTATGAGGCTACTTGATGAGATGAAAAAATTAGGGCACGTGCCTTCTGATACTACTCTTAGCTTTGTTACCCATGCCTTTGCAAGAGCAGGAAGGAGAGAGAGACTAATGAGACAGCTGAAAAAGTTGTACAAACTGAAAACTGTTGAAAGTGAGGCTTCCTCACTAGTAGAAGCTTAGAGATCAAGATTAGATGAAAATATATTTTACTGCAGTTGGAGGCAAATGCCAGACAAAGAGGATTCCAGAAGTTCAGGATAAACTGATATTATTAATCTTTGTGGGATATTAGGGTCGTCACTTTTACTGATGGTGAAAGTTATTGCCTGCTCATTTGTTATGCTAGCGGCTACAGTGGACATTGCTTATTTCACAAATTACTGAAAATACCAAGAAAATGGTGATACCAAACTTTTCACTTGGATTACACTTAAGATTACTGGGAAGCTCACAGTGAAGACGTGGTTGCGTGATTCTCCAAGAACTGGAATTGAAGACTAATTACTCAACGGCTCTCTTGTTCTGCAACTGGTGAGAGTTACCATTTATATTTTGAGTTTTGATTGTTGAGGTCTTAGATTATCACAAATAAGAGTTTTTTTTGTATACATACCCCTTAAATAGGGTATTTGCAAAACTATCCCACTAATCTCGTGCTACCCCCAGATCATCAACTTTAAAAAGAAAACACCCCCCAAAGCAACAAATCATCAACTATGATAGGTTTATTTGTAACTGCAGTGTAAAATATCAACAAAATAGTCAAATTTTCACTCATATCTCCAACAAAGTTGATGATGTATTGATTTGTCTTTTCCCCCTCTCCAGAGTTGATGATTTAGGGGGTAGTTTTGCAAGTACTGATTTGGGGGATATTTTTGCAAATACATGATCTTGTAAAATGTCAACAAAATAGTCAAATAATGATGCCATGTTGCCTAGTTCGAAGATGTATCTCATTCTTAGGTCTCCGCATTTTATATCAGATCCAAGAGTTTTTTTTTCTTTTCTTTGTTGTTTTTAGGCATGAAACTATACCTCTTTCTGAATTAGTCTCTTATGATTCAAAGCATTTGGCATGATTCTAGTATTACTCAGAGCAAAAAATTCATGCTGCCACTTCTTTCTTTGAATGTTCAAAAAACAAGTGGGTTTCCAATTTATAATCTATATGATAAAAGAAACATAAAAGTAATATAAGAATTTAAATACTCATAAAAGAAACATAATGATCTTGTGTGAATTATTAATTTCAATAAACACATACGCATATGTACATACACACAGCTGTGTCCTTGTACCACATCTTTTACAATTTTCCTTATCCCCGTACCTGCACCTGTACACATACCCATTGCCATGCAACATAGTCTCCTGGCTATTTACAAATGTCCTTTTTTGTGTATGAGTTCTTGCTTTATGCTCGAACACTCAGCACAAACTTCTTTTCAGTCACACTATGAGAGATAATTTACATGCCAGAGTCACAAAATCATGATATGATATCATGTACGCAAATATACATGTGTATTCTGGATGACTGAATATATCTGAAATACTTCGTTGGACTTGCAGGATGGTTCAGCTTTGTTATGTGGTGGTGAAACAAAAATTTTGAATTGTTAAGAGAAAAATTGACAACAAACCCTCTTTTCTTCTTGATTTGATTTCTTGGGGACATTTTTATGACAAGTAAAACCATTTATCTTTTTGAAATCTTTCTGAAATCCTTCTGCCCACTCTGTAATATCATAATTATGACAAACACACAGAATCACAGGCACTAATTCTTACAAGATTTTAACAGACACACACCTTCCTTGATTTGAAACTGTTTCCATGAAAACCTTTGGAGCTTTGAATTGTATTCACACTTTAAGTTCTACAGGCTCTAAATTACTATTGAAAGACTATGATTCCCATGCTAAAATCAAGTGCTTTTGCATTCAATTTTTTGCAACACATACTATTATTCGTGACATGCAACATTGAAAAATATGTTGCTAGCTTTCTGCCAGTTTATGTGATTCTTCTGGAAGAATGGGAAAAAATTGTGATCCATGTATTTGCGCTTAACAAACAATATAATTAATTCCTCAACCATATTTCTTGGGCGCACATAATGTTAGAATCAAAAATCTTGTGCATGCCCATTATCTAGTGGACTATGATAATCTGAACTTCGCATTGATACTTTTAACAGATATTATTCATCGCTGACTATTTTGAACTGATGCATTTGAATAACAAAAACTTAGAAGAAACTGATTTAGATGCTGAAAATTTTCCCCTCTCGTAGGCTTTGATGCGGTATGGCATGGGGATTGTAACCTAGTAATGAAGGCTTTTAACCTTTTAAATCCCTGGATTCATGGTTTGAATCTTGTAGAAAACTATAGAGCACAAAGGGGGGATTGATGGAGACTAGCTTCCCAAAAACAGAATGTCACACCATCTGCTGGTATTCATGCAATAGGCTTCTGTAAATTTCCTTCAGAAGGAGTTGAACTTTCTGCAGCAAGCTCAAACTTTGCCTCTTGCGACTACCATACAAGAAAAATTCTTTGAGCCGTTTGCTTTCTGCCAGGATCTTGTATTCCTCCGAAGGAAATCAAATCAATTGTATATGTTCTTTTATATGTTTGTTGTTGGCGATTTTAATGGTTATGTTGTGTATAAACTGTATTATAAGCCTACCCATGTATTCATAGTTGCATTGAAGGATGTTGTTGTGCCAAAGCTTCTGTTAGCAGTAAATTTTTATGCTTCTCTTGTGCGTATTTAGAAGATCATGATTGATGTTGAGTTTAACATCTTAGACGGTCACATATTCTTTTCTGCTGCTCTGCGATCAGACTGAAGGTGTTACGGAAGTGGAACAATGATGAAATTTATATGCCTATTATTTTTCCAGCCGGAAAAAAGTACCGAGGCATACGGACAGACTGAAGGTGTTACGGAAGTGGAACAATGATGAAATTTATATGCCTATTATTTTTCCAGCAGGAAAAAAGTACCGAGGCATACGGAAGCAGTTGGTCCGCAATAAGTTAGTTTGGTCACTCTTGCAATAGCGGTTGCAGTTGCTCCGTTCCATTTCAAGTTTTTTGGCTGTTCGCAACTGAACTTGCACGTGTTTGTCTTGTGATATCAAGGTATTTTAGACTTATGTTGAAGGTTGTTTGTGATTGGAGTTGCAGTCTAAACCCTTTTCACTGCTTTAAAAGTTGCAACTGTGACTTACATTCAAATCTACAAAGTTGTCGGTATTCAAATCTATGCGAATCGCTAGGTGTATCTAAAGGCCTTTCTGTATTTGCATTTATCAGTCACAGCTAAACAAACAATAATCAACCAGATTAATCAGATCAATCTTGATGGATTATATGATTTGCTCATCTTAGCATGTTTCAATTACTTAACTATGTGCCAACTGACCCATATACTGTTGAAGAATTACTCATACAACTCAGCATCAGTGCCCTGTGCTGAAATTTTCGCTTGTGCTTTATATGCTTCAAACACAATATGAGTACTCAAGTTTTTCATCACCCTCAGTAAAATCAAGCGCATTGCTATCAATAATACAAAACACAAGGATCTTTGGTTCCTGAAGCCCTTCAAATAAAGCAACATTCATCAATATACTGGGCACTAGAACTGAAGGACATTCATCAATATACTGGGCACTAGAACTGAAGGTATGCTCCCAGCTATGTAGTCTGTTCTGAGTTTCTGAAAATTTATCAGAGGTAAGCAACTAAAAGTACATGGAAAATATAACCACCGGAAAATTTATACAAGATCAAAGAGAAACGAAGGATGGCTGAATCGAAACAAACAGATCTAAATAAATTCATAGAGGGTGTTCTTCCAATAGATCTTCACTTATCAACTCATTCATATAAGCCCATCTATAAAAATTAATACTCATCAAAGTTAAATTTCTCAATTCCACATCCTATAGCTGAATCTGAGCAATAAATAGATGACAAATACTATTAGGATTAGTACACGGTAGATTTGACTTTAAGAACTTCGTCCCAGTGTAATCTACAAGAGCCATTCAGCAAATCCATGCAGTGAAATCCGCAAACAGTCAAATAGGCGCCATTTATTCCCATTCGACAGTAGCTGGTGGCTTTGATGTAATATCTTGGCAAACTCGGTTTACACCACGAACATTATTGCATATTTTGCCAACCACATCAACGAGAAACTTGTGATCGAAATAATACCTGAAACACAAACAAACAAACAAAAATCAATAATGATTTGGGTAACATATCAAATTACTAGTTTTGGATACAGGACTAGGCAATAACTTTGATGAATGACAAAGGTGTCACTAGGTAAAAGATAAAAATTTTGGATACAGGATGTTATCAAAATTTAGTTTATGGGGATTTATGCTCTGTGTGTATCTTTGCCAGCTCACATGCTTGTAGCCATAGCAATAGTAGCAACCAGAAAAGCTTACAGATAACTTATTTTCTGATAATAATATCTTTTGCAAATTCCTTGTACTCTGGCAGAGGCAGACTAGTTGGCATATCTCCCTGGTAGGTCAAATCAGAAGAACAATAATTGCAATCTTTTCTATTTCACAGTTTCCCTCATGTTAATGGTTGGAACATGAATAGTAAAAGCAACTATTAAGTATAGCTTGTGATCTTAAGTGGTAAACAACAAAAAACTTATGAAGTATTCCTTATTTCCTAACAGACCCTTTCTCCCCACTCTTCCTTTTGCTTCTCAACTCTTTAATTTCTTATTTCTTCTATTTCACTTGTGTCAATCCAAGCCCTAAAAGGAAAGAGTCACACGCGGGGATATTGCTAGTAACGTATAATGTGGGTGGTTCTGGCTGGAAACACTTCAGAGATCCCGCCAAATCATGGTTAATTAAATTAATACCAGGGTTGGAATTACTTAATATCGTCTTCCTTAGCAAAAAACCAAGCATGTTGGAAAAAGGGGAAAAAGATACAACAGAGTAATTCTGTACACATGTCAAGAGTTTAGTACAAAAAATAAAGGCAAAACTCAATAAAGATGTGACTCACCAATCTGCAGTCATTCCATCTTCACTAGTGATTGCTCTAAGAACAACAACGTGAGAATGGGTCCTCCGGTCACCTTGAACCCCAACAGATTGTACTGGCAAGAACACAGCAAAAGCTTGCCAAATTTTATCATAGAGGCCAGCATCCTTGATTGACTGAACAAATATCTCATCCACCTTTTAAGACAATAGAAGTGTCAAATAACCACAATAACTGATGTTTTACTAACAAAACATGTAGTATAGTGCATAAAGAAATATGTAACCTGACGTAAAATATCCAAGGCATTTCCCTCAGTAACATCACCCAGGACTCGAACAGCAAGACCAGGTCCAGGGAAAGGATGCCTTTTCAAAAATGCTTCAGGGACATTCAAAATACTCCCTAATTTTCGTACCTTCCAGAAAAAAAATACCAGATAAGAACAGAATCAGCAACAGCAAGGAAAAAAAACATGCTCAGAAGATAATGGCTATAGCAACTAATTACTAATAATATCATTTCTAAATCCTGTGCTTATGCAGAGGTAAAAGAATAACATGTAGAACTTGGATTATGAAACAGAAATGAGAAATCACACCTCGTCTTTGAAAAGGAGCTTAAGTGGTTCAATGAGTTTCAATTTCATATCCTTAGGAAGCCCTCCAACGTTATGATGGCTCTTGATTGTGTGCGAGTGGGACCTTCCACTTCCAGGGGGTGGACATGACTCGATAACATCTGGATACAGAGTTCCTTGGACCAAGAATGTGGGCCTTTTCCCAATTTTCTTTTCCAACTCCAGAGCAAAGTCGTCAAAAATATAGATGAACTCTTTTCCAATTATTTTTCTTTTAGTCTCTGGGTCTTTGACACCCTTTAGCTTACTAAGAAACCGTTCAGATGCATCTACACAGGTAATTGGCAAATGCAGATCACTTTCAAAGGTTGCCATCACTCGTTCCCTTTCTTTGAACCTACAAATATACAATCACTCTTCAGCACTGAAAAGACAAAGGATTAGGAAATAAGAAAATAATTTTGATTTTTCTTAAGAACAAATAGATAAGTGAACCTTAATAAACCATTGTCAACGAATACGCAGTGGAGCCTGTCACCAATTGCTCTGTGAACAAGTGTAGCCGCTACGGTTGAATCCACTCCACCTGATAGTGCACAAATAACATGTTCATCAGGTCCTACCATGCCTTTGATGACTTTAATCTCTTCTTCGAGCACATCTTGCATCTTCCAATCGGCAGTTACACCACAGACATCAAGTAGAAAATGGCGCAGTGTTTCCATTCCTTGTGTTGAATGTGTGACCTGTAAAAGCATCCCCAAAAAATAGCAAAGATTTAACAATTCATAGCTCGAACTTTCTTTTCCTTTGATACGAAAAAGGAAAATCCAGCTAGATTTATGTAAAACTGCCAAATAATAAAAACTGCCAAATTATTAAACCATAGACAAAATTTCAGAATCCAGTATGTGCAAAATTCAATCTTCTTATGAGCAATTTTCTAAATTCGTTCCAGATTGTTGATTTGGACCCAGACAATTGTCCATGAATCTGACCGAGGTTAGAGCTCAGGACTCTTGGATACTTGGATTAGATTTTGATTTTTGTGAGTAGAATTCTTAAACTTTTGGTTTGGATTCATAGACTTTGCTTTGGATTCATAGACTGATGGTCGGATTCTCGGACTTAATTTTAAAATTGTGGATTATTTGCACTAAGAGTTTCAAATTAAATTATTATGTTGAATAATAATCATTAACAAAAAATATTAATTTGAAAAACCACCTTCATTTCGGTCAACGGATGACAACAACAAAACTAAATACAACTTGTAATTCATTTAAACAGTTCAAATAAAATGTATGTAATATAGTATTAAGTATTTAAAATATTTGTATACTTAAGAAATGTTAAATAATGAACATACCTAAGTTAATATAAAATATATTAAGTGATTAAGTAGTATTAAATATATTTCATTTTAAATGAATTAAATAGATTTATAAAAGTTGATTAAAAATATTTTAAAATTAAATACATTCAATGTTAATATATAATAACTTAGAAATATGGAATATATATATATATATATATATATATATAATTTGAAATATATTAAATATTTAAATAAGTAAAGAGAAGAGGAGAGAGGAAATCCACATAGTGACATCACAATCCATCAATTTTAACTTGGACTTTCTACAAAAAAAATTCATAAAAAACTATAGAGTTGAAATGGTGTGTGGTTTTTGATATCCTAGTCCTAAAAATTAATCCTAGACAACCAAAAACACTTTAAATTCAAATCCTAGTCCTAAACCAATAACACGTTAAATTCAAATTCAAATCCTAGTCCTAAACCAATAACACATTAACTTTAAATCTGAATCCTAGTCCTAAACCAATAACACCTTAAATTTAAATCCAAAATTTAGTCCGAAACGGACAACACCCTAATATGAAATCCAATAAAAAATCTAAGTCCAAATCAACAATCCTCAACCAATAAA